GACTACACATAGGGCTGCTATATATTGGGGTCAATTTGATGGTGAATAGCAATAACAACAACAATGAGGCATGGAAATGAGTATGCAATTTTGCATAGTAGATATGGGTAAATAGAACACAACAACTTTGCTGAGCTACATGCTACTTTGCTGACTTTACCAGCTTCAGAATTCTGATGTGTGTGCAGTAGTCCCTGGTGTGACTATGATTTTGTTTTTGCTTTATTAAGATCTGGAAAAATCTGCAAATGAGTTTACCAAGCATGTGGGTAGGTGGGTCTGAAAAAGATACATGTTGCTAAGCCCAGGTTCTTCAAGAACTTTTTTTTTTTAAAGTAGCAACCAACCTTAGCAACAAATGGCATTTATGCATTAAAGTGCCCACATTGATGGGCATGCAATAAATGTTAAATGGCAACAATTAAGTTTAATTAGAATTAATGGATTGTCTTAAAGCATCGCCCTAGGATGCCTCCTCAACCTTGATTACAAAGCCAAGTCTGGCCAGTCCTGCTCACTTCAGCCCAGTCCTAGTGAGGTCACCTAGCCTCGGTCGCTTATTGATTGCAGACTCTTGTCTTTTTTTCCTCCATAAATCAGGAATGTCAAGTTCCCCTCTCATCCTGCTCTCCTCTTTTGTTATAGTTTCCCCCTTAATCATCTCATTTTCTCTTTTGCTGTGATTATTTTCTTTCTCCTACATATTTTGCCTCTTTCTCTGCCCCCCTCCCCCCTTTAATTTCCAGCATTCTTTCTCCAGTCACTTTCATGGCTGCTTTTCTCCAGGATGTGTGCTCAACCCAGCCTTGGGCTGTCATATTCTTTCTGAGAGTCTTGCCTTCACAATAAATGCAACAACTAGTTGGATCCAGAAGAGAAGAAACCATAGACAGAAAAGAACAGGACAGTGCAAATAATACATGTCTAAGTTCAAATCCTACACCAGGTTGTCTTCAAGAATAGTATGTTTCCTTGAGGAAGCCAAAATTTAGGGTCAGGATGACTTAACTGTCCATAAATCTGTGCAAAAAGAGCCCTGGTGAAACAATAGCTAATTGCTTGGTTGAAAGGTTGGTGGTTTGAACCCAGTGGTTGTACTGAAGAAGAAGGATGTGGCAGTCTGTTTCATAAGGATTATAGCCTTGTATGCATGTATGCATGGCCCCTTCCCGTATCTCTTCATCCTGCCTGCTTGCCTATCTATCCATCTGCGGATTAATATTTGTTGTTACTAACAATGCAGCACCATGCAAGAGTCTTGACCCATGTTGTCTGTAACTCTCGTGGACATCTCTGTGTCTTTCTTTTTGCTAATTATAGTAAGCATCCCCTTATTGTCCCTTCACCCAACTTAATATATATCTAAGCAGGAGTGGCATCCACTTCCTAAATAACTCCATGAACTTTGACAAATTACAATACCTATAGGTTTAAGACCTTTTGTTCATAGGGTTGCTATGAGTCATGCTCGACTCGACAAAAATCGACAACTCTTTCATTATTGATCTCCCCCCCCTTTTCTTCTCATCCCTGGTAAAAGTCAAAGAGTGTTTGTTTCTGTGTTCAAACATTTCCGTACATTAAATTTTATAATAACGCATTCACTATATTTTTCCTATTGTGACTAACTTACTTTACTTGCAAGGCAAAATGTCCTCTAGGTTCATCCATGTCATGTGGCATTTCATCAATTGTTACTCTTCAGCATTGCGTATTAATCCATTGTGTGTGTGCACCATCACTTGTTTATACATTCATCCACTGATGGGAACTTAAGTGTCTTCCATCTCTTTGCTATTGTAGAAAATGCTGCAATGACCACCCACTGCTGCTGAGTGGAGTCTGACTCATAGTGACCATCAGGTGTCTGAGGCTAGAAATCTTTATGGAAGGAGACTGTTCATCTTCTTCTCAAGGAGTGGCTGGTGGATATGAACCACCAACCTTTCAGTTAGTAACCCCACACTTTACAAGCATGCCACTTTAGTTCCTTGCAATGAATATCAGTGTGCATATACCGGTTTGTACTGAAAATCTTATCTCTTTGGATTATATACCTAGTAGTGGGATTGCTAGCTTGCTTCCAGAAACTCTATGAACTTTGAAAAATGCTGATAGTTGTAGAGGGGCTTCAGGACTTTTGTTCATAGGTTTGCTATGAGTTGTACTCAACTCAAAGGCAATCAACAACAACAAGAAGTGGGATTGCTGGATCAAGTAATATTTCTGCTTCCAATTCCATGACTATAAATAAGCGAGACAAATATTTCTACATGTCTATTTGTATGTGCTACAAATACATTAACATATATAATATGGGGGCAAAGTTATATATGCAAACTTCTTAATGACAACCAACACCCTGAGGGAATGTGAGTCCCTGGCAGTGGGACCTAAAGACCACAGTGCCTAGGAACAAAGGAAAATGGAATAACCCAGTTCACAAAGGCAATATTTTACCATCCTACTTTGGTAGGTAGTGACAGGTTTTAAAAGTTTATGAATAGCCGTCTAAAGCATTATTGTTGGTATCTTTCTGTCTGGCGTAAAGAAGAATGAAGAAAATAAAAAGAAAGTCAAAGATTCAAACCTTCACAATGCATTGCTAGGACTACTTCCCCGTGAATGCATCAGCCTCGGCTGGCGACATGTTCCAGGAGCCAGAGAGCAAGGGCGTCTGGGGGAACTCCAGGGCCATGAAACCCCGAGAAGGAGACTCCCGCAACCTGTTTGGAGGTCCAGAAGATGCCATTTCCTCCATTAGGCCCAATAGGATGGCATCTAATATCTTTGGACCAACTGAAGAGCCTCAGAACATCCCCAAGAGGACAAATCCCCCAGGTGGAAAAGGAAGTGGCATATTTGATGAATTGACGCCCTTCCAGATCCAACAGCATCTGAACCCAGCTGGTGGAAAAATCAGGAACATTTTTGGGTCCCCCATTCTTTCCACATCACCCTCAGCACAGCCAAACAAGCCCAAGGACCATGTTTTGTTACGTGGAGGAGAAGACCTCAAACTAGACCTTCCAGCCATGGCAAGCAGCTGGCAAGACTGGGGGAGAAAAGGGATATGAGAGAAAGCCTAGCCTCATGGGGCTGAGGCCAGAAGAACAAGGTGGTGCTCGGTTACCACTGCCGACAGCTCTGGAAGGGATTCGAATGGTGGACCCTAGACAGAGTGTGGTATAAATGTGCAAATGTGGAACAAAAACTAAAAATCACAGAAGGGGGCAGATTATCTGGTCTGATTTAGTATCATGGAATCCCTAAGATTATGACCCTGGGCCACGCTCTAAACCTGGAACTGAATTCACCTCTGTGGCACAACATTCAACCAATCAAGAGACAGGCCTGTGGGGTGAACAATAACACTGGGGAGGGACTCAGTCCCTACAACAACCAGCCACACAAGATCAAAAGGGCAGCATTTGCTCAGGGAGAAAGCTCTGAAGGCAGGAAAAGAGAGAACAACAGGAGTTTGAATGACACAAGAATAACAGGGCAGAAGTGGGAAGAATGTTATTAGAATAGAAAGGTTGTAATAAATGTCTGTCATAAAAAAAAAGGTTGTTATGTGCTGTCAAGTCGCCTGCGACCCATAGCGACCCTATGTACAGCAGCTCTGAATTCTGCCCTAGCCTGAGCCAGTCTCTGTTATGTACACATACATATTTATATATAAATAAATAGGTATGAATGGTTAAATGAAAAACCAAGTTACACTGCAAACTTTCACTCAGATTATAATGTTGTTGCTAGGTGTCATCGAATTGACTACCACTTAGAATCTATGGCTATGACCTTATAAACAACTGATCAGAACCATATCCTCTCCTGCACGATCACCACTGATTTCTGACTTGTTTACACCCATTGTTGCAATTAAAAAAAAACCACAAAAACAAAAACCCACCTCAAAAACAGAAAGCCTCGGAAACACTTTGGGGCAATTCTATTCTGTTTTATAGGGTTGCTGTGAGTGAGGATCAAGGTGTTGGCAATGAGTTTAGCTTGGGTTTTAACCCACACATAGCCCTATCCAAGCTGAATGCTATTTGCTTATTTACTGGGTAGTACTGTGTGTGAGAAAACCAAGCAGGTGAGGAATGTAGTGAACCTTAGTGTTTTGATACTTGGCAGTCAGCTCTTTCTCTGACCCTGTGTGGTGTAAACTCAGACGGATGACTTCCTTTTGGTTTTAGAGAGTTCTTAGGATGTTCAAAGATCCATCTCATACCTCACCTTCCTTCAGCCAAAAATCAAAACTAAAAGCAAACTCACTGCCTTTGAGTCAATTTCAACTGAGAGTGACATTCTAGGACAGACTAGCACTGCTATAATACAGGTTTCCAAGGCCGTCAATCTTTATGGACAAAAACTTCCACATTATCCTCTCATGGAGCCATTGATGGGTGTGAACTGCAGACCTTTTAGTTAGTAGTCAAGTGCTTTTAACCACTTTACCTCCACCGTCCTCAATCCCATTAAATTCTGACTTGGTCACTGGCTTTAGGAATGAGGAGGAAAGACAGTAGTTAAGAATGCCTGGTGTGTAGGCCTAAGAAGATGACGGAAGCTATTTTGATGCTTGTGGAGAATATGGGGGGTCGGGGGTGGGGGGCGAGGAGTCGAAGAATCAGTGCGAATATTCCCATCTCATGACATCTAGGGGTGAATCCTCTTTCAGGACACCACAGAAAGTTTACACAGAATACAAGGAAGGAGAGGCCATACATCCAGTGCCGGGAAACAAGTGAACTAAGTAGTGGGCCTTACTGTATGGAATCATTGTGCCTGGGAAGGCTGTCCAATCTATCCTTTCTTCCTCCCACCCAGACCTAGAATTTGTGCCTCCCAACTTCCCTTTTCTGTATGAAAGCAGGAAGAACAAGGACCCACACTCATGTCCCCAAAGAATAGCAGGACACTCGCAGTGGAGGCAGACTGTATTTAAATGCAATTCACCTCTTTTAAGGTCTAGGAAAAGCCACTTGCGATCATTTGCTCGGGAACACGGTCTGTGTGGCTGAGGCAGTGGGTACCGGGGTCATGGCCTTGCTGAACGTTGGCTTTCTCCGGAGGTCTGTCTGCTGCCCGGAATGGCAACCGCTCCGATGGGCAAATAGAATGGTCATCTCTGGGCCCAAGAGGGCTGTTTCAGGCTGGGACCCCTTTGGGGTGGCTGGCTGTTCAGGCTTTCCATAGGTGGGATGGGAGGTGTAATGTTTGGTGGGAGGAGGGCTGTAATTCTGAAATCTCACAGTTTTAACTTGCTGAAAGAGAAAGAAAGAGCAAAGAGGCATGGTGAGCTGTGAGCCGTACATTACGTTCCTCTAATTCCTGGTTCATCCTGTTTCTCTCCTCTTGTTCTGACTTTAAATGTGTTTGTATGTTCATTCAACAAATAACTAAGTGCTTACGAAGAGTGATTCTTATGCATCCATCATACATTCTGTTAGGTACAGTGAATCCAAGAGTAAATAAAACAGTCCTGACAAACAATTGTAACAAAGGCTAGGATGGGGAATGTTCAAGGAGAATACGGAGTTTTAGTAGCTGCCAACTCAAGCTGAACTGTGGCAAAGTCAAGGAAAGCTTCCCAGAGGCAGAGCTCTTTAAACTGAGAGGATTATGAAAAAGGATTAGGAATTATCGAGGATAAATGGGGTAGGCAACCACCTGTGAAAAGGACCTGAGGAATGAGGACAGGATCCCTTCCAGATATCAATAGAAATTCACCTCTCCCTTCTCCTCCATGCCTACCATCAGGGCGTCTCTCAAGGCTGACATTTTCCTTGAGGCCTTCTCTAATGACTTAATTTAGAACTTTCCATAATGGCTTGATAAGTCCTCACAGCAGAGTCTGTAGACTGGGCACCTGCTGCCTGAATTTAGCCTGGAGAGACTTTGAGAGTTTTAGTTGTCAACTCAAAAAAATTGAGATTGAGAGATTACGTAAAATAAAATCAGGATTTCACATGTTTCTCTAAAAGAAATGAAAGTCTTGGTTATGCTCCAGTGAGGCACTCAGGGGCTAAATTTGAGGTGTATGCCCTTTTCATAGGAGATGCATGGTCTTCAGGTTTTCTCAAGCCACACCTCTTCCTTCTCTCTTCTACTCCTGGCCTGGAATACATTTGTGTGACACATATAAATTTTCCCCAAGTCCATGGAATTTAATAAAACTCTTTGCAGTATGCTAGGAATTATTCTCCCACCCCCCTGCCATGAAATTGGATTCAGTATCTTCAGAATCCAAGTTTCTCCACTGTCTTTCCCCCTTTCTATTGTGATGAGACATACATAACAAAATAGTTCCACTGACCGTCACTACATCTAGCATAACACTGACCATGCATTCAGAATTTGTAGACTGTATCTAATAGCACAGGGTCCCAGGCAGCTGAGACTTGACATATTCTAAATTGGGATGCTATAATTTAGAATAAGAACTTCTACCATTTATATTACTCAGCACTTTGCCCCCAAATGCCTTTTTCTACAAATGTGTAGCTTAGCACTAAGAACATGCATTTTTGTATCAGATCTGAATTCTACTCCCCTCTATCTTAGCCAGTGATGTGGGGTAATGTGCTTTAACACTGTAAACCTCCATTTCCTCACTAGAAAAAGACGACAAGAATAATCATATGTACTTCAGAGGTTGTTGTCAGGAGGAAATGGGATGAGACATATGAAGTACTCAGCGTGGTGCCTGCCAGGTCATTAGTATTCAGTAAATGCCTATCGAATACAAGGAAGCCACAACCTTTGGGAATTCTAGGAGACTGAGAGGTGGTGATGGTGATGGCTGGAGATGGTATTATAGAGTTAATGGTGGTGTTGGAGATGGTGGTGTGGGGGTGAGGTAGCGGCGGTGGTGACGGGAATGGTAGTGATGACAGTGGCGATGGTGATAGTACTGGTGTGGAGGTGGTGAGGTGGTTATGGTAGTGGTAATGACAGACATCTCTCTCTCTCTCTCAGGAAGTGACTCACAGCAGACTCTCCAGTGGGTTTTCAGAGACAGTAAATGGCATGGGAGGAGATTGTCCATTTTTCTCCTGTGAAGCTGCTGGTGGAGTCAAATGGTCAAAGAAGTCTCACCTTTGCATTAACGCAAGAAGGCCTATGGGCAACACCACCAGAGGTCCTGTGTCCAGCGAATGAAAAACTTAATATTGAGCATCACTTAATTTGTTAATTTTGTTAATGTCACTTATTCCCACTATTTCTTGGCTTCCAGAATATTTTTGAGAACAAAAATGTTTTCAGAAATTCATGTTTTCTGTTATTTGGCACCATGGAGTGGGAACTAACTCAGCTGATCCTCCCACGGGTTTTTAGAGGCAGTAAATTACACGGGAGGAGAGTGCCTATCCTTCTCCTGCCGAGCAGCTGGCAGATTCAAACGGCAGGGCTTTAACAGTGCAGCCTACTATAGTACCACTAGGGCACCAGGCCTCTCTCTGTCTTCCGAAGAGAAAAATTCCGCCTTGGAAGAAGTGAATGAATCTGACCTCTGCCACAAACTCAATCCCAGTTTTTACAGCCATTGTAACTCAGAGTGTGATGACCTTGATGAGTCACTTAAATCCTCTAGTGTCTGGTTGGCTTTTTAAAAGATAATGAATACTTTTGTGTCAAACTCCCTATAAGCACTTTGCACACCTCACCTCATCTCATTTAATCTCCACAGCAACTACGTCAATTCTATTAGGTAGTTACTGTCCTTATCCTCATTTTTAGAAAAAAAGAGTTTCAGAAGGATGAAGTGCCTTGGCCAAAGTCATCCAGTTAGCAAGCCACAGAGCTGAGGCTCACGCATTTCTAACTCCAAAGCCTCATTATTCCCAAACTACCTCTTAGTCTTAAGAGATGTACATATGTTGTTGTTGTTGTGTGCTGTTGAATCGGAACTGACCCGTAATTGAGCCTTGATGGGTTTTCAGAGGCAATTAATCAGACAGAAGGAGATTACCCATCCTTGTCCCACAGAATAGTTGGTGGATTCAACCATGTGCCTTTGAGATTGCAGTGCAGCTTCTTGCCACTAGGTCACACTGCAATCCCAAAGGCAAGTAGTTTGAATCCACCAGTTGCTCCATGGGAGAAAGATGGTCAGTTTCCTCCCACGTGATTTACAGCCTCTGAAAACCCATTGGAGGGTCAGCTGTGGGTCAGTTATGATGTGATAGTACTCAACAACAACAACAACAAAGTGTGTAATAGACTTTTGTATAAATATGTCATTTACTTATAAACTAATTTCATCAACACATCTCAGGAGAGTGTGAGTGGTGTAAGGATAGTGGTCTAGGCATCAGGAGACTCATGAGGCTGTCATTTTGGTTCCTTGCCTCTAAATCCTAAGATCTCAGGAGCCGGGACACCATCAAGCAAATGTTTTAAATACATAGCAGAGAGTCTAAGAAGTTAACATCCCCAATGTCATCCCATGCCTACCTTTTCAGTGCCATTTTTTGAGTTTTCTGGTTTCACCAGGATCGATGGTGGGGCAGACGCAGGGGGTCTGAGTGGAGGCTCACTCTTGATGGGGATGTCCTTGCCTTCCATGATGAGGGAGCTGGCAGCCGAGTGGGTCCTGATGTCATTGCCTCTGCTCATGTACATGAGTGCAGGCTCTCCTGTGGGAGCTGGCTTGGGTCCCATCTCCACCACCATCGAGGAAGGTGACGAGGGGGTCCCATGAGGCTGATAGAACTGGAACTCCTGTGGCCGCACAACCATGGTGGGGCTGCGTCTGAGAGAACCCACCACAAGGGTGGGGATTCCTGACTGAACAGGTCTCTGCAGGGATCCATCTGGGGGGAATTACGTGATGAGATCAGTAATGGGCCAGCTGACAGCAGGTTGGTCAGGGCTGGGTTAGCAGTGTGTCCTGATATCCCGGAATAGCTAAGTGCTTTCCCAATAAGACCGCATTCACATTCTCTCGGGGTCTTTCAGAGGTGACCTTATTCTTTTTTTAGTGCTGTTTGCTGATGCTGGCAGCACATAACTGGCTAGTTGAATGCTGGGGGTGTTGTGGGTGCCAGAAGGTAAATGACTTCCATTTGCTTACTCTCTCTATCTCTCACACATGCGCCCACACACACTTATGCCCTCCAGACCTTTAAGATGGAGAGTGAAAAAACCAGATGTGATGAAACAGCTTCCCAGTGAGAAAAGCATACAGAGGCATGCAAACTAACAAGGAAATAAGAGATAGAGTAAGCAGAAATCAAGAAAGATAATTGAGAAATATGACAGGAATAGAGGGGAAAAGGAGGGGTGTCAATGAGTAGAAAATTCTGGTCAGTTACTTGCAAATGAGAATTCTAACAACAGTTTTGTCAGGTGGTGGTGGAAATGCTTGGAGGGGGTGAGGGGAGTGGGTGGAGGGAAGAAAAGTGAGTTGAATTAAGAAACTCTGTGTGCTAGGCAAGTGGGACACCAGACAGAATTAATTTCAGAAGGGCTATTCCAGAACTCAGACTATGCTGACGAACTCTGCAGAGTCTCCTAGGGTCGGATCTGGCCTCTGAAAGGCTCCCAGGGAACCTTTAGGCAAGTAGGTCACGTTGCCACCTTGCACCTCAGGTCCTTCATGTGTAAACTGGAAATAATAACAGAATCTATACTTCATGATGCCTTTGAGCTGTGGTGTTGGAGAATAGTACTGAATATCCCATACACTGCCAAAAGCACAGACAGACAGGTCTTGGAGCAATTGCAAACAGAGTGCCACTTGGAGGCAAGGATGGTGAAAACTTTATCTCACATGTTCTGGGCATGTTGTTAGGAGGGGCTAGTAAAAGATAGGTTTAGAAGGTAGAGGGTCAGTGAAAGAGGGGAAGGCCCTCAACAAGATGGATTGGCACTGTGACTGCAGCAACAGGGTCAAGTGTGTCAGGGATGATGAGGATGGCATAGGAGAGGGCAAAGTTCAGATTTACTGCTCATAAGGTCGCTTTAATTGTAGTTGACTCAACAGCATATAACAAGTGTGTGAACACACTTCTCAGGGCCATGAGGATAACATTGTATGATGTGTGCAAAGTGTTAGGAGAGTGGCTGGAATAGAATAAATTCCCAGAGCTTGTTGGCTGTCATTATTGTGAGGTAAAGGATAAAACCAGTTGTCAATCCCGACTATGGCGATTCTGTGTCTATCAGAATGGCCCTGAGTTCCCTAGGATTTTCACTGACTGGTTGTTTTTTTTAAAAGAAATCCCTGTAGGTCATTCTTTTGAGGCACCTTTGGGTGTACTTGAACCCTCTGGCCTCTTGGGCAGAAGCTAAGTCCATTAATTGGGTAAAGGATAAAAACTCCAAAACCTCAAAACATATTGCTGTCAAGTCAGAATCGATGTTTAGATGGCTCTGCTTTGGGTGGTGGAAGCTGTCATTAGCATGGGAAGAGATTGCTGGTTTTTCTCTCCAGGAGCGCTGCTGGAGGATTTGAACCACCAGAGAGGTGCCACATTTGGTTAGCCATGCAACTCCTTACAGACTAGGCCACAGGATCTCCCTAAAAATGCTGCGCCTGATAGACTGTAAGCTGTTGTTTGTTTTTGTTATCTTAAAACCAACCATCCTGAGATGATCCTTCCTCAAAGTTATCCCTTGCTCTCAGTTCTCCGGAAAACAAGAAATCCTCTATCACTTGAAGGTGAGCTAGGGAGAGGATAGTCCTCTGCATTTTGGGTTGGAGGGAATCTTTCTGAGAAGCACTGTAGTCTCCTCTCCAGTGGAGTCTCCCAGCACATAGAAGGTATAGGGGATGTTCCAGCAGAGGCATTCATCCTTTGTGAAACGCCATGGGCATGTGTTTGCTTGACAATCATTTGTCTCTAGCACAGAGGGCCCAGGGCAGGCTGCGTTCAGCACCGTGACTCTTCATCAAGCTGGATGTGGACACGAGAAGCAGAGCACTCACTGAACACATTCGCTGTTCTCCGCTGCTGTGAGCAAGCCAGTCACCATTTATACAAGTCTGACCTTTCAGTTTAGACATTTATTTTTCCACTGACAGCCCTGTGAGGTGCACACAGTCAATTCTCCCGTCACTTCTCTTCGCTCTGGGAAGATTGATAGCTTGACCAGCCTCACCTTGGGAAAAGGGAGAACAGGAAAGCCACAGGGACCTGAAAAAGTCAAAGCCACCCTGGGTGGACAGGTCCAAAGGCTCCGACAGACGTGTGAAAAATTGGTTTTGTGCCACCTCTATTTGTCTTGTCACTTCCCAATTTCAAAGAGGTTTAATGCTTTCTTACAAGCACATACAATGCAAGCAGACAAAGCTCTTAGTCAATCAAGACTTATGCAAAGGTTGAGAAGTAGAGAATTAAAAAGAGTGGCACAGTTGCCAAAGAGATGAGATTCTTTGCATTCACAGGTAGTCTAGACAGTGTGAACAGCTCAATACTGAGTTCACATTTGTTCTCAATGGGTCAAAACAGATTTTCTGACATTATCAAGAGGACCATGGTAGTGAACACTAGGAGTCCCTATGTGGCTTAAATAGTTAAGCTTTTGACCATGAATCAAAAGGATGCTAGTTAGGATCCACTCAGAGGTGCCTTGGGAGATAGGCCTAGTGGTTTCCTTTGGAAAGGCCACACAACCTTTAAAAAAATTGTTATACTCTGCACACTTGGATTTGCCTGGAGTTAGAACTGACTTGATGGCAACAAACAACACTCACTCATTAATTGCTGTTGAGTTGGAATTGACTTAGAACTGGCTCCCGATGATTGGGCTTCTGATACTGTAAATTGCTCTGGAGGAGACTCCTTATCTCTCTCCCCAGGAGATGTGGGTGGATTAGAATAGCCAGAGAGACACCATCTTTGGGTTAGCAGTGTGACTCCCTGTGGACTATGCCACCAGAGGTCCCTAACTAGCAGCAACTGTTATAAAAACAGTTAATGATTCTAGAATGATAGCACTACGCCATCACCTTATTATGGAATACTTCATGAAATCAATACCCAAAAGATGTAGGTACTATTTCTATCTCCATTTCACAAACGAGAAAAACTGAAGATTGGAGGGGTTAGTGACGTGTCCAAGTCTTTTTTTTTTTTTTAATGGAGGGGAAAGTGAGGGGCATAGGCTGTGAGGAGGTGATGGTGAGTGGAATGACAGGACAAGGGTCATGAGGCTGGTGGTCAAAAAACTGTCATCATGTGACAGGAAGGCTGGGGAAGGGGCACAGCTAAGATATTTGTCCTCTTTTTCCCAGTAAAATGTCTTGTGGCATCTTGTTTCACATGCTCCTCTTTTGCTTTGCTTGCCGTATAGCATTCTCATATTTAACCAATTAATTTTTTTAAGATAACAAAAAGTTAAAAAAAAAAGGATTGCAGAGCCCAGCTTAAATCAGGGGACACAGAGTAAATCTTTTTTACTTTTCTTGGCTCTTTTTAGAGAAGTTTAAGAATATGGAGCTCAGATGTTTTATAGAATAGTAGGCTTCAAGCACTTTCTCCCTAACTCTCCAGAGTGAAATTATATGGAGAATTTCACTGTGTTGTTAGATTAAAAAGCATGGCTGTTAAACTGGATCTATATATATTGATAGATGCACAACGTAATTGCTATGTATGCACAAACACACACCCAGAGCACTGATCGTGCTAATGCAAAACCTATACTTGAACCAAGAGGCAGTGGTCAGAACAGAGCAAGGAAGCACTGCATGGTTCAAAATTGGGAAGGGCGTACGCTAGGGATGTGTCCTATCTCCATATCTTTTCAACCTGTATGCAGAACAGATTATCCGGGAGGCTGGGCTTTATGAGGAGAAATGTGGGGTCAGGACTGGTGGAAGATCTATCAACAATCTGCGTTATGCAGATGACACAACCCTGCTTGCTGAAACTGAGGAGGACCTGAAACACTTGCTGCAGAGGGTCTAGGACTGCAGTCTCCAGTATGGATTGAGGCTTAATGTCAGGAAGACAAAGATTCTCACCACTGGACCAATTGGCAGCATCAGGATGGATGGCGAAGAGATTGAGATTGTTCACAGCTTTAGTTTGCTTGGCTCCACAGTCAACAGTCTTGGCACCAGCAGCCAGGAAATTAAAAGGCGCATTGCCATGGGAAAGTCTGCTGTTAGGGACCTCTCCAAAGTACTGAAGAGCAATGATGTCTCTCTGGAGACTAAGGTGCATCTGATACAGGCCATGGTCTTTGTTATCACTTGTTATGCATCAGAGAGTTGGACAATGACTAAGGAGGATAGAAGGAGAATTGATGCCTTTGAGCTGTTGTGCTGGAGAAGAGTATTGAGGGTACCATGGACTGCTAGGAAAACAAACAGATTCATCCTGGAAAGGGTGAAACCGGGCAGCTCCCTGGAGGCAAGGTTTCTGAGTCTCTGTCTAACATACTTGGGACATGTCCTAAGGAGAAGGACATCATGCTTAGTAGGGTGGACGGACAGCACAGGAGGGGAAGGCCCTCTATGGGGTGGATTGATTCAGTGATTGGGGTAATCGGGATGGGTGTATCTGAGATAGTGCAATTGGCACAGGACAGAGCAGTTTAGGGCTGTTGTACATAGGGTCGCTATGAGTCGCAAGTGACTCGACAGCACATAACAACAACAAATGCACAAACAAAAGCAAGGAGCAGAACACTTCAGAAATTCTGCACATAACAATGGCACATAACAACAATAGCATACTCTATTGGTTGTTTTTTTATTTAAGCCTCTTGTTTAGAGTCAACAAGACCTTGAAGAGGGCCTTTGTATTTGAAAGTTGGTTGTTATTCTATTTTGGAGGAATATTCTTCTAAGTAGTACAGCACTTTTCTCAATATGCTGTACTGAGGCAACCTGGGGTTGCAGTGGTGCAGAATCTTGTGCCATTGGGGTGTCAAATGCCATAATGGTTGCACATGGTCGACAGTGTTTTGTGGACCTCCAGTTTAAGACAGCTTAAAGCAGGAGTGGCATCTACTTCCTAAACCACATGCCTCTGGAAACTCAATGAACGTTGAGAAATGATGATAGTTGTAGAAGGGCTTCAGGCCTTTCGTTCATAGGGTTGCAATGAGTTGTGCTCAACTTGATGGCAATCAATGGAAAAAGAAAATCAATGGAAAAGAAGTTGGGATGCAGAGTTCAGGATATGAGGGAGGCTTGCTTTTTGCATGCTTTCTAATATACATATATACGCCTATGTATGTGTTACCTAAATACAAAGATGGATTTACATGCATTGTCTCGACCTTTCTTCACCCCATCTTCCCCATCCTTTCCTTGTTTCCCTTTTGGCTCATCTGCAGGGTTTTCAGAAAACATAGTCTGAGAAGCACTGATCCAGAAAGTGCTTTGGTTGTTGTCTTGATAGAACCAGGATCCACCTTGGCTGTGTTGAGAGACATGATGACTCTCACGTCTGCTATCACTTCAGTTAGTCAACGTACATCAGATACACTTCAGTCAGTCAACATGCATCAGATATGCATTAAGTAACCAAAGGCAACAACCCTAAACTGGTCTAGCTTCATTCAGTAATTATAAAGCAACCTTGAAGAGGCGTCTTCTAAGACCAGAAATTTTGTAAGAAGAGCACTCTATTTCCCCAAGGTTGGGTCGCCCCATCACTTAGCTCTAGTCACATACCTCTCTTCCACCACTTACTCTTTCTCATGCTGTTCCGTCCTTTCCGAAGAGATCCTTGTCCTACAATCCCAGGGCTGGCTGTGCTCCTCACAGGGTTGACTATGGCTGTGGGCACAAAGACGGATCTGAAGGGACGGCTCTGCCGAGGATCACCTTCTGAGATGCTGCCTTGGGAGGACACAGAGGAGGTGGACAATGTCCATGTGGCGTAGAGACCAGGACTCCGAGACTCTGGAAAGCTAGTTGTCTTTCTAGTTGTTGAAATGTTTTCAAAGAGAAGGAAGAGAGGAAGAAAGTATTCAGTGAGGAGTCCCATTTGAAAAAAAAAAAACACACAAAACACCCAACAAAAACCCAAACTCAAAAAAACCGAAATTACAAGCTCACAATCATATAGCAAATATGGTTGCTCCTCACCCTTCCTTGACCCACGCGAGGTTAACTGACTAAACCTCACTTCCTACACCTTGACAGCTGTGTGGACGCACTGAGGGGAGGGAAAGCATGTCAATATGCCATTTTTAGGTTTTGTGCTTTTTGTTTAATTCCACCTCTGATAATGCTTCACCTCACATCCCTTCAATCCTTGAGTTTAGAGCACGGTATCTTGTATGTGTTCATCTTGCTTTGCAGCGACTTTTTATTATTCATTGAGTGTTTTTCCCATTAGATTCTAAACTTTTTGAAGGCAGAGATTTTTTTTTTACAATTTATGTTCTCTGATCTGCATCTATTAGATTTTTTATATATACTTTTTATTTAAATTATAAACAAAAGTTTACAGAAAAGTTAGATTTTAATTCATTGTTGTACATTTTTACCCCTTCTTCCTCCCTGCCCCCTTCCCCAATTCACTTAAAAAAATTCATTCATTGTTGTACAATTACCTCCCTTCCCCCCCTCCCTCTAGTCCTCTTTGCGATATACCTCTTATTCTGGGCTGTTGCTGTACGTCTAATGCCTAATCACATATTCCTTTTAAACAGTTCTTTCCTTCATCTGTTCTAGTGCAATGGTCATTATCTATCCACTCTTATCCTATTCTCCTCCCAACCCCTCAGGTCGAACCTGCTTTATAATAGTGGTGCTATGCAGTATTTGTCCTTTTGTGACTGAGGTATTTCACTCAGCATAATGTCCTACAGGGTCACCTGTGTTGTACAATGTTTTATTAATTCATTGTTTTTAGTGCTGCTAGTCCATTGTATGAACATACCATAGTTTTTTATACCTTTGTTTGTTGATAGGCGTGTATTAGTTTCTGTGCTCATCTCCAATGCCAGTCATTCTAGTTAACATATATTGAGTTTTTACTGTATGCCAGGTGTTGACCAAGTGTTTTGTTTGCATTATTTCACTGGTTCTTCACAACAATCTTTCTGAATTAGGCCCTATTAACATTACTATTTTATAAATTCCAGAAACCAGAGACTGTAGGTAGTTATTTGTTCAAGTGGCTGCTATAACCTGAGATTTGAATTCAAATCTAGATTGGCCTTCTGAAACATCCATTCTGAAACTTTTAACATTGAGCTACACCATCTCCTGATGGCTGGCCAGAGCACTCTTCTTCAGAGCCCATAGCCACCTTAAAATGAACACGCAGAAGTATCTGGTGGACCTTAATCACACCTCTACAAGATTCTAATTCTTTAGCCTTCAGCTCTGATTTTTAAGGAAGTATTAAGGTTTTATAATACAACAATCCCTTGTCCATTGTTTCTAGTTACGGAACAGCTTCCTGAACTCCATGGGGAATAGCTGTCATCTGACACGACTTTCCTGCCCTTTCATGAATTTCACCCCAGCATCACATCTCCCACCAACAGTCCATCCATCACCTTGTCACTCTCCTGATTAAATAACCTCTGCTAATTCCCTGGGAATTACTAGCTCAACCAAGTCTCCAGTCCAGAGATGGATGTCCTTGTAGCCTCCTCCCTGCCAATGCCTTCAGGATTTCTTTAGATAATTTGTCCTTATTTTGATTAAAAAAGTGATGAGTAGTTTAACAAATCTTGTAGGAATATAGATATGACATAATTTACTTGTGATCAGTGCTGTACAAGAAATACATGCAGACGAACACCCTAGGAACTGATGCTTGAGGTTGCTTTTGTTGTTAGGTGCCATTCAGTCAAATGCACCTCAAATGTTTGAGGCAAAAGGCCCTATATCCACAGTTGGTACTCAAGATATTTAGTTAGAGGGATAAAACTATCCATCAGTTAGAGTAGCATCATGTTTTGAAGATGAGAGTTGTGCGGTGGGGAGAAATCCCCAGATTGACTTTGTGAGTATAGTACAGCATCTGATTGCCTTTTGAACAAATGCCTCAAGATACTGGAAGCTGTGAAACAGATCAGCAACAAGGAAGACATGTCACAGAAGTATTTCCAGAAGCAGCAGCAATAGCAAGGATTGATTACAGTCAATTGAACCCAAGAAAGCCTTATTCCATTAGTCCTTTCTTTGAGTGACTATTCAGATTCATGTGCATTCTCTTTTTTTCTAAGCTTATCATTGGATCAAATTCCAGGAATTCCTGAATCCCAACTCAGATTCAAAACAGTCTATGTCCTTAAGCAGGGACCTCAGCACTTACTTCTACCACTTTCTTCTACCATCAGCGCACTCGCTAGGAGATACTGATGAATTCCTCTGACACTAAGACAGAAATTAAACTTATTTTTTTTCTAGATGAGACTAAAAGGCCTCCTGAGTTTAAGTGGAGGAGTTGTTGCTATGAATTTGCTCCATTGCACTTGATTTTGGGTGTACAGAACCCCCTTCGGCCTGGTTTTGAGCTTTTAACAACTTGCATGATATTCAACACAAGGATTATAAGCAATAGTTCTCCTGTGATCCCTCTGGTAGCATCCTCCTGGCAAAGAGAAGAGTTGAACCTTGACAATCTTGATGTAGTTCTACATTGAGAGTCAAAGGCAACATCTGTAACATCCTGGGTGAGCATATGTCAGTGAAGACCTTTAGCTTAAGAAAGAGAAACTATCTTGGCTAGTTGGCTATAGTTTGGATATACTGGCTATAATTTTCCAAAAGAAAGAAATCTATTGGGAAGGACAGACAGTGTAGAAAAAGGATCAGAAATGGTCCCAAATGAGACTCCAGAGAGCTAGGCAGAAACCGGCCAGCAGAAAGAATCTTATTGGATACTACTTCTTGTGTTCTTGCCACAAATGACCTTCAACCACATCCACACCTTTTTCACCCAGATTGGCCTTAAGTGTTCTTTTAGCTCTGGTGATAGCTTAAAGAGGAGGAAGAAGAGGATTTGATTTCTATAGTCTCTGAAATCAGAGGAAACCTCTGTCTATTACTAAGATTATACATGATTGAGGAACCTTGAGAGAGAATAGGTGCTATAAGGAAGTTGTTGGATAAACACATGACACATGTTTGTCCAATGTGTCAATGAATGTTTCTGGGATACAGAGAAAGATATCAAAGACTTAGTGATGCTCTACAATAATGGACAGGTTAGTGACACCATATACCATGGTAAGTCAGAGTATGGAATAGCACAGCAGTGTCTTGCCTCTTGATAATTCAAAGACTCACTTGCTCAATCTTAAATTTTAACCTTGGCAATGTGGCCAACTCTTCGCTATAGTTCATCCTCACATTTTGACTGTCTCAGCTCCCTAGAGAGAGATGAGCAAAGGTTCAGCTGCTCAGGGAGCACATTTCACACTCCAGCCCTGGCTTTTTATAACAGCCAAATGGCTGGATAGAAGCACAGACCCAATACTCTAGACAGATAACCAAGATTTTGAGGAAAATTAACAAACACACAATAAGGATCCATACACACACTATCAAAGAGTAGAAATCAAAGAGTAGAAAGGGGCCTTTCACATTTAGGCCAACCCACTCAATTCTAACTATATAACCAGCTAATAGCGATAGAAATCCAGCTGACAAAGGATAGCCTATTCCGCCCTGGGAAGAGGGAGAAACTAAACTTCCCACAGTGGAAATGATGCTTGAGAACAAGAGTGAGCTGCACCCTGTTAGATAAATTGGGTATATGTCACCCACGTCTAAGATTAGTGAGATGGGACTTTTTTTGCGTGAGACAAACCATCAAAGAAAGTAAACAAACACTGGAAAACTACTGAACTTCTGTCACCTAATAGCCCTCTGAAGCATATACGCTGACAAGGACTTATTCTTACTTAGAATGTTGGTTCCCTATAAGCAAAATCACCCTCTACTACTGTAGTTATGTGCCATCGAGTCACTTGCAAATCAACTGCTCTATCGTGATCCAGTTTTCTTTTCTTCAACACAACTATCCCCATTACCCCAGCCACGGAGTCAATCCATCTCATCCAGGGTCTTCCTTTCTTGCATTGTCCTTCCACCCTTCCGAGTCCTGGCAATGAAGTTTCATCTTACATACTTTGGGCATATCCAAAGTATGTGAGATGAAACTTCAAAATCCTTGCCTATAGAGAGCAAGTTGTTTCCACGCTCTCCAGAACAGACCTATTTCTTCTTTTGGCAGTCTTGTGGTATGTTCAAAACTCTTCTCCAGCTCCACAACTAAAAGACATTGATTCTTCTTCTATCATTCTTAGTAACTGTCCAGCTCTCTGATGCTTATGAGTAATTGTGAAGATCACGGCCTGTATCAGGTACATCTTAGTCTCTAGATTATCATCATTGCTCTTCAGTACTCTGGAGAGACTCCCGACATCAGATTTTTCCTAATGCAATTAATCTTTTGATTTCCTGGCTGCTGGTCCCAGGGGCGTTGATTGTAGAGCCAAACAAGATGAATTTGTTAACAATCTTAATCTCTTCTCCATCTATCATGATGCTACCAATTGGCCTAGTGGTGAGAACATTTATTGTTTTGATGCTGATCTTCAATCCATATTTTTTTTTGCTTTTCTATAATTATATTTTATTAATTTTCATAAACATTTACAGAGATTTTGGGCTTCCACTCATTCATTGTTGCACTATTCTCTCTACCCTCCTCCCAGTTTTTTCTTGTCCAAATGCCACAGTGCTTGTCAAAGCCAGTTCTGATTAATCTTCTTTGTCAGTGTATCCTTTGCCATTCCCTATCACTCCTCCCTGAGAGAGACTTCACCCTGAGTCATAAGGAAAAGGGGATGGCGTATTCTCTTAGCTACTTCCTGCTGAAAAGGGATGCTGTGGGTTTCAGGGTGAAGATCTTCTCTCACTATTCTAAAGGGCCCCTTTGGCAGTAGGAAAC